CGCCACATTTCTATGAGTAAGAACTGGACGTTCTCAGAACACCTGCCCTCCCATGTTACTTTACCCTTAAGGTTTCAACCCTTTGTTTCCAAGCACGGTGCTGTGCTGTGTTTGCAACCGTTACAACTACAAAACTGATGACAGAGCACTACTCTCCAAAACAGATGTGCAAATTATAAAGCCAGGAACCATTTTCACCTGACACCCATGCTATGGAGAGTTTATTTCAGAAACATGCACACATCTAAAGGCACATGCACTCTACCCTCTTGAGCAGCATGTCTCAACCTTGGCAACCTTGACTTGCTGGCTGGGGAATTCTGGGGGTTGAAGTCCACAGGTCCTAAAGTTGCCAAGGTTGAGGAACACTGCTCTTGAGCCAGCCTCCCCAGCTCACGTTTCCAAACTGTGTTACAGAGGCAGGAACAGCCATGCTGGTCTCTGCTCCCTCCAGTCCCTGACTTTTCTAGAGTAGCAAGTTCTGAAGGGGAGCTACAGAGCAGATTAAACAGGATTCCCAATCGCAGGTTTTTCCTTGCTTCTGAGCAGATACAACTAGCACTCCTGTTTAGGCCTGGCTGTGCACCGAGGCAAGGTCAGGGGATGAGGGGCACACCCCACGCACCCTCTCCCATTTCAGGCCAACAATTTCAGGCATGATTCATGACACGTGAGGCATACACTATATACAAAAGTACACACAGCATGGATAGTCGTAAAGATGGACTGTATTTGATCTTTCCAGCTCTCCCTGTTCTGAGAATCATTTAACATCTGGGTCCATACCAAAAGCAGGCAACCCTTTTGGGCAGGTAGCCAAGTGCGCAACTTGACAGCATACAGTGGGCACTCTCACAAAATGGCTACCAAGGAGACCCAGGGGCAAAATACCTCTTTAGCCAGTCAGTTTGGTCTTTACTGCCCCAGGCGACCTGGATTGTTTTTTTCCTCTCAGCAGGTGGACATGCTTCCAGAGGATGCAGGAGTGGCTGCCATCAGACATTCCTAATTTCTAAGTATGCTCAGAGAACAACTGTGGGGATCACAGGTGTTTTTAAAAATTACAATGACATCAGAGGACATTATTATTGTTCAGCACTCTAGCTTCCTTTTTTTTTTTTAATTAAAATAACCTAAAAAGATCAAAAGCAGGGAAGGCAGGGAAGCTTTGGATTCTCGGGGATCCACAAATCCCTAAATATTTATCCAGATCTGTACAAATACTATTCTGGGATGACTATTCATGGAAGCATGAGAGAAAACATTCTCTAGAAACATTCACCCGTGTATCTATCATGCAGATTGTACAAAACATTTTGATGTGAGTCATTGTGAATCCAAAACACTCCATTTGAGTGTGGAAACAGCTGTTTCGAGCATTTTGAAAGTGATCTGAGCATGAAACAGAATGTCTCAAGCTCAAAACAACTGCCTTAGCTCAAGATACTTCCAAAATGTTTGATAGGAGGACAGTCTAGGGTGGCAAAAAATCAGAATTCTGATAGCCCCTTTTCTGACTAACAAATTTTGTTAAAAGGCCTAAGCTTTTGTGAGCTCTTGCCTTTTTTTCCAAAATGCTTGAAATAGTTTGCATTCAAAAGAGCTGTTCTGCACCCAAAGCGATGTTTTAAATTCAAAACAATCACATCATTGCCTGGCCTAAGAAGAGCAGAAACCAGATATCCGGACACACAGCCTGCAATTCTGCTAACGAAATTTAGGCCCTCAGTAGATCAAGCAGCACGGTTTGTCCATCCTTTGAGATTTTTCTTTTTTAAAACTGTGGTTGCTACGTACCCACAGAGCCTCCTGTAGAAAGCTGGCAGAACTCAAACAGGCCATCAAACACAGGGCAATCTTCTCCCACATTGACTTGAAAAAGAAAGCAACAGAAGTCCACGTTGAATCGCAACACGTCGATGAATTCAGCCAAAAAGAGAAATAGAAATATCAGAATTTGAAAAGAACAGGGCTTTGGCTGGGAAGCGTTTGGAAAGCTGGCTAAGGGGGGCAAGGAAGGCGAGAATGGGATAAAGCTGTCCTTCCACAGGAGTTGAGGTGATCCAGGAGCGTGGGCACCAAACAGAGCAGCTGCAGTGAGAAAGTCTGCTCACAGGAAAAAAAATCATAGGCTTTTCATTAATCCAAGTTAGTTGGCAGATTTGTTCAATCTGGCCATTGGCGCTCAACAATGCTAAGAGGCGGCGCCACCTGCTGGACCTCTAGCAAACTGAAAGGGAGAGCTGCAAGGCCTTTACAGAACTCCACACCGGAGCTCAGGGGTCATGACGGTTAGCCCTTGGGCAGGAGACCACTAGGAAATCCCAGGGCTGTAGGGTAGTCTTGGAAGAATAAAACCCCTCATCCCACAAGGTGGCAATGGCAAGCCATTTTCATGCAGTCGCCAAGAAAATGACATGGGTGTATCCACAAAGGAATGAGTCTGCCTTAGAACAGTGTTGTCCAAACTTGGCCACTTTAAGATGAGTGGACTTCAACTCCCAGAATTCCCCAGCCAGCCATGCTGGCTGG